GAAACCCTTTCACACAAAAACCCTTAAAGGGTTTAGCAAACCCGAATAAACCTTTTAAGGGTTTAGGAAGACTTTCCAAACGTACTAGGGTTTATTGTTCTACGAATTTTTTTTACAGTGTACAACACCTGAATGGAGAACATGGACACAAACAACTCGAAATTTAAGTTTTTTTCCTGTTTTTGTAAGATATTGGTGTAGGCATAGATATTCGTTTTTGGATTATACATGGGAGCCACGATTATGAGTTGGTTGTGAGCTACCAAAAATTATGAGAGGTTTGCTTATTCGTTGAGAACTTATTCTATATAATTTTTATGAAAGATCTGTGTGGGTGTAGGTGTAGTTGTGAGTATTGGCAAAGAGAGACACGCCCACAACCACCCACCCACACCAACCCACAAGCACACGCACACCCGCACCCTCAAGATAGTTTGAGTGGTACATACCTTATTTTACTACACTGAAAACGGTAACTGGTCTTATTTGTTATGTTGATTATTTATCTTTTTTTATCAACCAAAGAAGTAACCAAGTCTTATCAACACGCACATCTTTGTTTCTCATATATATGTCGCAGGCGAGTTTGGAATCTAGTTGAGATTGGAATATCATTTTTCTCTTGCATAATAAAATTCATGGTGATTCATAAGAGAGAATGTTGATTGATTTCTCATAGTTTTTCAGCTTATTTGAACATGAAGATATGTGAAAAATATTTCTCTATCTATAAAAGGCGATAAGTAATTATTTTTTTGATAATGATGAGATCTGACATTGAATTATTTGGTTAGCATTAAGTCTCAGATTATTTTTTTCTATCTTGCTTTCAATGAAAATCTTTTTTCTTTTATATTTTTTGAATGTCGGGGACATGGGGACATTGAATGATTGGCTCTTAGTATTGATGACTAAATTCGTTTTGATTTTCTCTATTGAAAATCTTTTTTCTTCCATATTTTTTGAATGTCGGGGACATGGGAACATTGAATTGATTGGTTAAATAATAAGTATTTTGGTAATATTGTTTTTCTGTAGTGAATACGTGTTATATTTTGTGTTTGACTTTTGTACAGGTACGGAATCCTGAACTTGCCAATGATGATCGTTTAGATGAATTAGATTCAATACTTTATTTAGTTTTGTTCTTGATAGATGTCATTCGTATGTAGCATATAGTTATATTCAACATAGCAGTATTGAAAGTCATCACTTTGATTGCATAGTCTTTTATTCATTTCAATAATGTAGGTAAAATTTTACATTCTCAAACAAAAAATTAACTATGTTTTATTAGCAGAACAAAAAGAATGATTGATAACGATTAGAGAATATGATTATGACAAAAATGATGTGTACGTGTAAATGCCTATTTTCTTTTATTGAGAGAGTTTGTTTTGAAGATTTATTTCGTTTATTTGGATCTCTGTCTCCTCGCGGTCCTTCCACTCTCAGGACATCATTGTCGTGTTTATTGAACTATCTGCCGCCCCTTCGGAAATATCAGCATCCGCTTCTAACACAAATCAGCAATCATTTCTGCTATCAATTGATTTTCACCATTCAGTGCTGCCTGTCTAGGGCTCAGTGAATCGACATTCGATGTCGATGAACGTTACTTGTAAATAAACACGCATAGTATTATTTTAAATAGGAAAATACTACCTGTAGTACGAATATCATTTTTTTTCAGCTTCTTCACGAATTCGTTTGTGTGATGCTTGAGTATCATTACTAACATGCAATAAAAAAATATAAATTTAATTGCATAAAAATAAAATTCTTACTTATCATTTTGAAGCACGTATGCATTCGATGATAATATTGGCATTGGTGAACAAGCATCAGCATATTCAGAATTATTATCAATTAACTTTGAAAAAGAATATAAATGTATATTTGTGACTAGTAAACAATGAATGTTAATACGCACTGAATGATCATTTTAATTAAAATTATCGGCAAGTGATTCAGGTAAATCTTTTTCATCGATGATTGTTTTATTAATGGGCTGTTGATGAATTTTCAACCAGAAATCATGATCATTTCGTACAAGTTGACCAAAAAACATTTCATAAGGTGTTTTTTTTTGTACTTTGAGAAATACAATTATTCATTGCAAGCATGACAGATCCTTAAAAATTTCGTTACAATACCAATTATTAATTTCAAAATCAATTTATTATATGCTACATACGTAATCCTTGTGGCCAATCAAGTGATTTATTTGTTTCAAGCCATTTCCCTAACATGTTTTGAACTACAGCATTGGCTCTTTCGACCAATCCTTGACTTTGTGGATGTCTTGGACGACCATTGGTGATAATTAGATCAGGCCAATTCAACTTGAGATTCAAAATAATGTTTACCCTAATAAATATATAATAATATACTATCAGTTTAAAATTAATTCTTACACAAATTCTTTTCCATTATCGCTTTGTAGAATTTTCGGAGTACCAAATGTATAAAAAATATTTCTTAAATGAAGTGTAACATGATGGGCTTCTTTTGATGGTAATGCAAATAACCAACTGAATTTTGTAAAGTGATCTTTGGCATGCACAATAAAATTAAATCCATCATGTTTCATACTTCTCATGTCAATTACATCAACTTGCAATCGAGTTAAAAAGTCAATAGAGATAATTGGTTTACCACTAGTTGCTTTTGGAAACGATCTTCTTGTTTGACAGACGTCGCACATGTTAATAAAGATAGAATAGCTTATTGCGGTATGCCAGCATATCGAGTTTTAATCTAGATCAAAAGATAATAAGAATTATTATGAGAAAAACAACTAATCTAACTTCAGCCTAAGTTTTATCACGACCAGAATGGCCAATGGCGATGTGGCATTCATAAATTTTTTCATGTGCTATTAATGGAAGATTATTTTTAGTTGTATAAATCAATTCACATAGTCCTATTTGCACTAGACGAAAAGTATTTCTAACCCAAAATTTAAATTTAGATGGTCGATTTACATTTTGTGATTTAAGAACATTCAAAATATCTAAATACATATCATTCTTTATTGTATACTTCGTTTGTTTCTTAACATCAATGCTATTTATATATGATTCAAGTTTTTGATAAAAATATTCATGTTGGCACGACTTTTGTCTCGAGACAAAACATAATAACTTAAATAATTATAACTTCGACATAATTTATCCCTAGTGAAAGTACTCATCAAGCGAGTACGACTTTACAGCATGAGTACTCAGATTACTCGAGTGAGTACTCAAAAAAATTCCCGAGTATTTTCACTCATTAAGTACTCTCAGTAGTACTTNACAGTTTAAATAAAAAACTAAAATTTTTGGTAAATTATTATGCATGGAAGAACCAATTATTTTACTTCCTTATAATACCAAATCATAAATAAAACAAAAGAGAATAATCAATGATATGACTCACATAAGCAAGAAAATAGAATATTCACAAAAACAAAATTTATTCAATACGTTTTTTTTCTTTATTAAATCTAAATAAAATTTTATATAATAACACATTTTGAAACAATAAGATTAATATTTCAGTGTTTTCAAATAATTCTTTAAATAACTTATTTTGTAATACGTTAAGAAAGAAATCACTCTCAGAGAATTTCTCTTTGTTATGTTTTTTCTTTTCGTTTTTTTAATTAATTTTCTTTTTCGTGCATTCCAATCTCAACTAAATTCCCATGCCAACTGTGACAGATACATGAAAGAACCCCAAACAACTTTTCCCAAAATTTTCATGGCTTGCTCATTATATAAAATGAGTCTTGTATGATGTGAGTTTTCTTGAAACAGTCTGTATTATTAATCTTCTGTTTCTTTTAATTTATTAGAGTATTACTTTTTTCTGCAATTTTTCTCGAATAAACCCTCAACGAAAAAGAGTGAAAAATAATAAAAGCAGTAGTACCTTTTACCGTTCAATCTCAGACATTTCTATAACGAAAAGATGCATAGGAATTATACAACCTTTTATAATGGTAGACCGACTGTCTTCTGTTATATAAGTTTAAAAGGAAGATGATGATTAACAGATGCTTTCCAAACGTATAAAGATTTTTTTTTACAACTAAATGAAAATTCACCACGGTTTTAAATGGTATCAAAATAATACCTCAGTTGTCTTCGATCAAACCGCGGGTTTTCGAAATTTTTTTTTCCGTGGGAAGAGCACTCATCCTATTCCGCAATGTTTAACATTTCGGAATTTTGTTGGAAGTGATAAGCGGAATTAGACGAAATTGGTTCCGTGAGCTGAGCTGGCTCTAGAATGTTCAACATTACGGAATAGGATGAATTCTCACCCACACCCTACAATCAAGCAATCCGACACTAATTGTAAATGACAATGATGAGAATGTGAATATAACCCTGACTAATCGCTTTGAATGATATTCGAAATTTGGCATGCAGAAAGTTGCTTGACTAAGATCTTTATTGAACAATGTATCTTCTGATTAGGCTAAATGAAGAAATTGTTACAAAGAGAATAGGAGATATCCTGGGTGTGAGTGTATTTTTTTGAATGATACGGCTACCACCGAGATCTACACCCTCAANTAGATCTCTGAACCCACCGCCGCCCACCCACATCCACACCCTCAATATGCTCAAATATGGTATTCAAAAGAGTTACGAATACAACATATAATTAAAATTATGTTTCTTCAGGATGACTAAATAGATGTGGAGCATTTCCATTGAGAGGCCGTATCCCGGAAAATCGACGTGCAATATTGAATGTTTGTCGGAATTTTTGCATTCTCGCTATTTTTTCAATTTGACCACCTCTGGTTACATCATCACTTTCTATTTCAGTATGAATTTCCATTTTTTGAAGAACTAATCGAACAAGATCCGTAATCTTTTCTAATTGGTGCTGCATGTCCTTTTGTCTGAAATAAAATTGATCAAATTAAAAAATATAGCTTTTTTTACCAGAACTATTTAATGTTACCTTCGGTTTTGTTTGAATAATTCTGTAAATAATGCATTTTCAGTAAGATTTTCTTCATAGGTATTCAACACTGCACTTGTATCAACAGGTTTCGCAATCAACTAAAAATAAAGTTTTCTAGCAAATTTCATTTTTAGAATTGTAACTTACATCTCTGCACATATGTTTAAAACGATGACAAATACCTCTATTCATATATTCAACATGTTCAGTTTTTGCCCACCGTAGAATTAACTTACTGGGCAATTTCTTTTCAAGATTCGTATGAAGTTGAACCTGAAATTGAAATTGAAAAGCATTAATTTAGAAGGCTTTTCTTGTTTTGTTGAAAACAAACTTGAGTAGCAAGACGTTTTAAACGAGCATTTTGTTGAATTTGCATTAAATCACCAATAGCTAAACCGACAAGTAAATTCATTAGAAGAATTGGCATTATAATCGCAAATACAAGTAATACTATTAAATTGGTAACATCAAAATGTTGTTCATGAGGATTATCCAAATAAGAACGCTCGAAATCGAGTTCCCCTAACATCATCGTTACAGTTTTAAGAACAATCATAAATAAATCAAGAGGACTTGATACATTAAGATCCTAAAATTTTATGAAAACGAAATATGATTAATATGCGAAAATGTAGCCCCGTAAATCTCTAAATTAGTGGCTGAACCAGGATTTTTTGATATGCTGAATCTTAGCTTTTGAGTATAGAATCCAAATGAAGATTTTCTATCAAACAATTTTCGCTATCGAAGTTTCCCAAAAAAAAAACTATTAGTAGTATCACATTTTTGAGCATGCCATCATGAGCTAGCTCGAACTTCATCATTTGGGATCAATATCAATCGGCCATAAATTTCATTTGGATCCCATACTCAAAAGCTGAGATTAAGCATATTAAAATATCCTGATTCCGTCACTATCTCTAATAGGCAATCTTAATTTCTCTGCATCCCTAGTTAATTTTCTATGCAGTCATCCAACCAATACCTTCGAAAATGGTCTTGTAACACAAAACGTTAATGCAAAACCAAATATTAATATTGAAAATAGCGATAAAACATGTAATAATGTTTTCATAATTTCTAAAAACATTGTTACATATATGCCATAGATGAAAAATCTTCCGAGAAGAAATAAAAGTGCTAAATAGGCAGTAAATATACTCATCGAGGCTGCTACCCATTGATAATGCCACGATTGATTGAATAGAAATGGTAAAGTGAATACACTTGTTGTAAGATATAATATCCATTGTACGTAATTTTCTATATCATAAAAATATTCACGGCCATCATGTGTTATTTGAATCATTTCCAAAAAGAAATTATAAAAGCAATATAAAACAATATACCAGATGCTAATTATTTGGAACGCTGTTGCACTGTCTCGAAACGATGTAAACTTAGTCTTCGAACATGAATCATTCGAATGATGCCAACTTGATGGATCATCATGATTGCATGATGGAAATGTTATAATAAAATGAGAGAGAAGAAAGAGAAAAAGTAGATAGAATGTTAAATCAAGAGCATAGATTGGAAAACCATATGAAAGCCATTTTTGACGAAGTAACGTTTCGCATAAAGGATGGCTGAGATGATTTGTACGACCGAATTTAACCATCGTCTGTATTTTGAAAGAAAAAAAATGAAGTTTTACATTTTTTTCAAACATACCCGTTACTTACATTTAATGGGAGCATGGGGTAGCGATATACTTTGCCATCAATCTGTTTTATATCCATCCAATTAATATAATGAAAATCATAGGTAAGCTAAAAAAATCAAAATCAGTATATTGATTGTTCATTACGAACCAAAAACTTACATGAAAATCTTTGTGTTTCTTGTCGGAATGACTAGGAGATATACATCGATCGAATAGAACTGGTACGCATTCAGGTAGATGTTCAATTAGGCCAAGTAACGGTGTTTGATATTTCGTACTTTTTAAATCTAATGCTTCTTTCCATCTATATATTTAAAAGACAAAAATGAAACAACAGTTTTTTTTTTCTAAAGAAAGCAAAGCGTATGTTTTTACCGATCATGAGTGATGATTGTAAGGCACACATCTTTCTGTTTTTTCATAATTGCTAAATCGAAAAATGTTTCACCATCAAGATTTGTCAAAATTTTTGCAGATTTCGAAAGAAGTAAATCAACACATTCAGCGAATCCGGCCGCAGCAGCTAAATGCAGTGGTGTCACGCCAAGACGAGTCGTTGAATTAATCAAATGAGCATGACCTTGAAGAATAGTATCCATTGTTGTTACATGTCCATGAATCGCTGCTACATGTAACGGTGTGAATCCTTCGAAACATTTTGTAAATTGAGCTCCTTTATGTATAAGTAATTGAACCACACGCGTATGGCCATTTGAACAGCAGAGATGAAGGGGTGTTAGGCCTTGTTTGTCAGGTTCATTTAGAATACGTTTAAAACCAGGTGTATCCAACAATTGACGGCATGTATTATATCGGCCGTATCTGAAAGTAAATCAGTTGAAATGACAATCTTCAAGTTTCCGGTTCTGATTTTAGTTAGTGTCTCAACTTTGTCCGCTTGTGGAGTACATGTAATAGGTCTCCTGATGAACTTACTCAGCAGCAAAATGTAACGATGATTGTCGTTGATTTGTTCGTCTATTTATTTCTGCCCCATGGGCTATTAATGTTTTCAATACATTTACTTGTCCTTGGCGCGATGCAAAATGTATCGGATAGAATCCATCTTTATCGCGTTGGTCGAATAACTGTCGATAGTTCTCTCGTGTGAATAAAATATTCCCAATTGCGCCAATAGGTAAATTTTGCATTATGATAAAATGAAGTAAATTTTGATCAGCTTCATCGCGATACATTATTGATGCATTTTTCGACAAAAGATAACAAACAGCTTGTACGGATGATTTTAAAGCGGCAACTAATAGTGGTGTTCGTTTACAGACATCCCGTGCGTCAATATCCGCTCCCTGGTAATGAAAAAAGGATTCAAATGCAAACTTATAAAAATAAATAAATTTACTTCTTCAAGCAGAAGTTCGATAGCGTCAACATGATCGCCCATAGCTGCCCTGAAGTAGAGTTCAATAATTATAAACAAAAAGAGTTTGTTTGTTGTTTGTTTACTTATGTAAAGGCGTCATGCCTTGAATGTCAGCCATGCGAATCACTTTTGATTTAAGTTCTGATTGACAGTTGAACATTATTTTAAGAGTCTCAATTGAACCTTGCGATGATGCCAGATGAACAGGCGTCGATAGATCGTCTTGTTGATCATCAATTTGACCTCCATTTTTAAGACAAATCTCAACCGCTTCAATATTCCCGCCTGCATTTTCATACAAAAAACAATAACAATTTGTCAATAAAAGAAAAACATTACCTATGACAGATGAATGTAACGCCCGATGATTTTCGGCATCACAAAAGTTTAAAAGATGTTGAGCATTATATCCCAAGGATTTAGCTAAATTGCAAGATTTGCATGACAACAATGAAATAATAATTAAAACGTCGATATTTACCGATGAGAAATAAATGATTAAGTACTCGATTACTACTATTCAGTGCAGCCATATGAATAGGATAGTTGCCCGCAGTGCATGGTTGGCAAAGACGAGCACGATGATCTGTCTAGAAATTCATCGAAAAGAAAACTCTCATTTTGCATCAATATTAAAAAAATCATTCGAGTTAACATACAAGAATTTTCGCTGCATCAATGTTATCAGTTAAAGCAGCATAATGAAGTGGTGCTTTGCCTCTTTCACCGCGAAGATTAACTTGTTCTGGCCGTTTGATTAGAAGTAGCTAAATTAACATTCATTACGAACAAATAGGATTTTTTCACTGGCAAAAACCGCTTCTCGTAATCTGTGAGTTCCGATAAACTTTTTCGAATTTTAATTTTACAACCATTTATTATAATTACAATAAATAACATTTTTTAAGTAGAAGTAATTACGAAGAACCCTAGTTGTTTTAACAACTTACAGCCCACTCTATTCAAGTTAATCATTTCCTTATTGCTTCCGTCAATTCAGAGTCCTATGCATTCTGAGTGCCTCATAAAACAACGAACAACAATCAATTATCGTCTCTCTTCTGAGTTAAACATACTTCAAGAGCTTTTAATTGATTATGAACTACAGCCAGATGAATCGGTGCTTCTTCTTGTTTGTTCAATCGAGCATCATCGGCTCCATTGGCCAAAAGAAATTCCATCGCATCTAACGAGTTATTTCGTACAGCGTGATGTAACGGTGTCCAGCCATCTTTATCTTGAATATCCAAATCTAGAGTTAAAAATTTCTTTTTCTATCAGTAGAAAATTCTATTCGATCAATATGCCTTCATGATATTGTGCGATCAATGCTAAAATTCCAACTCGATTTCTAGCAGCAGCATTATGAGCCGCACAAAGACCAGATGGATTAGCGACTTTTAATTTCGCTGGATCGTCACGAATAAGATGTTCGAATTCATCCGTATTTCCCGTACCAGCAATCTAAAAAATAATTTACAATCCCAAAATTAATGGTCACATGTTAGATCATACTCGAACGATATAATGTGGACTATCGGAAAATAAACATATATCATGATTACGTGCAGTATTTGAAGTACTAGCTATTGTTTCAGTTGTTTCCCTCTCATTGACAAGCTTTTTAGATAACATTGTTAGCTCGGTTTCTTTTCGTTGTTTTGCCGTCGTGAACAATTTACGAAATGATTTCGAAAATTCAACACTAGGTCGTTGATGATTGTTTTCGGTTCGCGATAAGGGCGTATTGGTTCTTATTGAAATGCAAAAAAAACAGACAACTTAAAAATTATCATTTATATCTTACTCTATATCATAGTTTGATATTCGCTTTGTCAACAAATTGGTAGCATTGTGTGAAAGCATTGCACGATTGATTATATCTAAAAGTGACATTCGGAAACTAATTTTGCCGGCTATTATTTATAATATTTTATTTTATCATCATGATGAAGCAAAAAAAAAGAAATCAAGTTATTTTAGTTCTTCTATACTGAATTACAATCATAAGCTTGACAGCCTACTTTATTTCTATGGCAAGAGAAGATAATTAACTCTTTCTATGTAATACTCTACCTGTAGCGGAAATATCTACAAAAAAACTTACATATTCGAGACCCGAAGGATATGTTTTTATGACATGTGATATTAAATATTAAAAGTCCATTATTATCAACAGCAATTATATCGGATTCAATGGCGTTAGATCGGTAATAGGCGAAAAAGAGATTTCCGGTGTTACTTTATTTTTTCACCAGAATGTGAAAAATACATTCACTAGTTATACTAGGAAATTTCTATCGTTTACAAAACTATATTTTAAGCGAGCTACCAAAACGCTACGCTTTCATTATTCTATTGCGTCGATGTCTACAATTTAAAAAGTAATTTTATTTACATCAATTCAAAAAAGGCACTTCAGCACTCCCCAGGCAGACAAACTTTTGAGAAAACGCGTTTAAACGCACAAAAATTGACCTAAAATCAGCAAAAAGTGGACGTTTTGGGCTCACACTTGAGGTTCCCGACTGTGAGCCAAAAACCCTCATTTTTCGCCCTTTTTGTGCGTTTACACGCATTCAAAAAAGAGAAAAAAGTTGTTGTGTTTTTCCAGCTCAAGAAACGTGACTGTAATCATGATCGTACATCCAAAGTCTTAAAAAACGACCACTTTTTCTCTTTTTTGTAGGCATGTAAACGCGTGTTTTGTCTGAAAACGCGTTTAAACGCACAAAAAGGGCGAAAAATGAGGGTTTTTGGCTCACAGTCGGGAACCTCAAGTGTGAGCCCAAAACGTCCAGTTTTTGCTGATTTTAGGTCAATTTTTGTGCGTTTTCTCAAAAGTTTGTCGGCTTGGGTCTTGTCACAACAACATATTCGATTTTGACACGTAAAAATCATTATCATATCTCGAGAAAAAAATAGTCAGATTTTTCTCTTCTATTATTGCGCACTTATGTATGAATAACTAATACGAAGACTAATAAATTTATTTGTCAAACATGCCCTTTTTCATATTATTACGATAGGTATGCTTTAGGTTTTACCATTAATTGCATTTCCTAAAAAGAATTTTCAACGATCCTCCATATTTTTCCGAAAAATACAATAAAAGAACAAAAATTCTATATGTATAAATCCACTGGCTCATTGTCTGATGAAAACTTAATTAATCAAAGGATTCTAAATCAAGGCGACCTCTGAAATATTGATGGATAAAGTATTTAAAAACCTTACAACAAGGTGATTATAACGGATAATAGAATTATATCTGAGCCGGTAGTTGTCGCTTGATAGATAGGAGTACTTACTTGTGAACTATAGAGAAAAAAAAATTTATAAAATGAAACGCGATGAAATATTTTGAAGAAAATAAGCGAATAGACCTTTTATGTAATGATTAACACCGGAAACTATTCGAAAATGGTTCCTTTCTGAGGAAAATAGCTTTTATTTCTTATTTGAAAGAATGCCTTGAAATTAATTTTTTGGTAACTTTTTCAACGGAAAACGAAGGAAAACTACGACACACGGTATCGATACCCTTAGCTTGAGACTGAGAAATCTCGCTGAGCTTACGTGCGAACGAACTCCGCAGGAAATCCATTAGAAACTCATCCTGGGTTAGATAGTGACTCGGTACGAGCTTCGTTACGATTTGCTCTCAATTTTGTCGATATAAAAAATATTATTACGGACTACACACTTTTCGTAGGCCGAGAACCGAGGTACCATTGAATCAGCAGAATTTGAATGGGCCTAGAAATATAATATAAGCTATAAAATAATTAAATATAGCGAGAATTCAAGGACTGCTCCTGTGCAAATAAACGTGCTTGTCTCTTATTAATTCCAGCACTCGTGTCGAGGGGTCCCAATATTATAGATCGCAATCTTGAGATGGATTGCTTTTCCTCGTTGTGTAGAAATATTTCCTCGTGATCGAAATTAATGCGATCACTGACGTATTTTCTTCTGTTCGACACAAAAAAAAAACTTGATATTGTGTAGATTTTGACGCCAGATATTCGCGATTATCAAAATTCGATATGTTGATGAGTTCACCCCAGATAGAATCTTCCTTCGAGCACTCATTGTACGTTCTCCATCTTGCCAGAATAATCACTAAGAGAGACATTTACACTGATATGTACACTATGTCAACACGTCCCAAAAACAGCGAAAAATAAATGAAAACTTTCGATATTCTCGCCGATTATATATTTCACGAAAGGACTCTACTCAGATCAACTCATAAACATTAGCAGTCATTCTTCGTATTTTGACGACATAAAGAAAGTCAATGGTCGTTTCCATCTGTTTATATGATCAAACAAGTATTCCATATGCAAAAATAAAGATAATGACGGAAACGTTTGATAAACATATGTATATATATCTATCTCAGTATGAATAAATCCTATCGATTTGATTTCTCATCAATTATTCATGTATGTCAATGCTTCTTCTTTATATTTTCTCAAAGACAATTAAGAATGTGTCTTCTAGCAATCAAAGGAGGAAAAATATGGAAACAAGAAGTGCATACAATGCAAATACATTATCAAATGCAGCGAGAGGGACAAATGATTACAGGAAATAACTAAGAAAAAAATGAGTTTCACAATAGGTATTTTTTCATAATAAATGTTTTTAACAGTATAAAAATTTTCAAATTCAAATAATCCGCATATTAAAACCATAAATTCTTTTGTACTCGATCAAAAACGAACATTTAATATTTATTCATCTAGCCAACAAATGTTAATGTTCTTAATGCTTTTTTTATTACTTCATATTTCTTTGTACTTGCCTTTAATGGGCTGTAAATAAATGCTAATAAGAGAAGGTTAATAACGATAGTCATTTTGCATGAATCAAGAGAAAAATTTTCGAGTTAATGACAATTTTTTTATTTTTTCTAGAAATTTGGGATCAGAATACATGATAGATAATCACATTCTGTTTTGAAAAGTACATTCATTCGTATTTATTTTCTTGCTGGAATTAGCAATCACGATATGAGACTTGTAGTTTTATAATTATTTCATCGCGGCCAATATAATATCAATTCCGACTTGATTGAAATTAGCATTAGAAATGCGTACAGAGAAATCGAGATCTTGCTCTCGGTAAACGAACTTCGAAATAGATCTGTTCGAACGCTCCGAATGAATAATTTGATATGTCTACGATAGACTTGTCTAGCATATATTTTTAGCGTCTCAAATCTACGTTGATTTTCGTCTGCGAGTCATGCGTGCATTTTCATGACTATGCAGGTATGCTGTTACGAAACAGAGGACACTACTAGTCACTCAGTGGTGGCTGTGATTGGAAGTTTCGGTTCATTAATACTCATATATATATCGCCGATGAATCAGAGAACGTCATTGGATACTCAAAAAATCCATAATAAAGCTTAAATTTCACACAAACCGTCAAAAACGGAAGAACCTTGTCAATATCATATTTTTATTTGTAACAAAAAAAAGACAATAATGATTTCAATATTAGACTTAACCACATAATTGTTAACCAATGACGAAAGATCGAATAAAAGATTTGCAAAAACCCGTAAGTGCAAATAAAAATTTTAACAAGATCAATTGGAATTTTTTTTTGTAGATTCAATGGCCTCATGTTTCATACAGAAGAGTTTCACGACAAGTATTAACATACTAATCGCTTTCAAAATACTCATAATGTAGATAATATAATGAAAAATAAAAGAGGGCGAGTCATACTTGTTTGCCGTTGTTAGTCACTTTGCATGCTTATATAATATTTGTGTCATGATTCGCCGCACCTCGAAACAAAAATGTCTAACTAATTATAATTCATCTTGTTTTATATTTTAGCGTCGCGGTTCTGATCCACCAACTGTTCTTAATCAATGCGTTTTCCCGCTTGCTACTATTAACACAGAATACGATCAGCATGTAGCTGAATTTTTAACTCAGGTGTGAAAAATTCGATGTTTGCTTTTATACAGACCTAAATTTCCTTTTTTTGTTCGTCTTCTTTAGATCGATTTAATTCGAAAGTTGATTGATAAAATCGCAGAGCTTGCCACAGAAGTAAAATTCACTCATAAAAAAATGATTGAGCCTATGGCTGATCCTAGTATACTCATTAAAATCTGAAAGGCGAATAAAAAACGATTTCTTTCTAGAACTCTCACACCAGCTCGACGATAAAACTGACGATATTAAAAAAGCAGCTGACGTGGTTGCAGCACATCTAAAGAGTAAGCTGCTGAAAACATTTTGCGAACATAAAAATAATATCTTCTATGAGCGTTTCGAAAAGTTAAAATTTGATTCTATTTATTAGAACTGGAACAAACACAAAAAGATGCCAAGGATGATATTGGATCGGCTCAATGGCGGTTAAAAGAATCACAAATCTATAATATTACTAAACATTTTCGGCAGATTATGAATCAATATAATGAAGAATGTGTGGCACATAGAGATCGATGTAAAAAAGCTATTAAACGTGAATTTGAAATAAGTGAGTATTCCGAGATTAATTATTGGTTTGTAAGTAGAGAATCTCTCCAATGGGCAATTTCTTTTCTGGTCCTGAGGCTAAACTTCAGTTATAAAATTCAAGAGGAATATTTACAATTATGACTTGCCAATAAAACTGTCACTTTTATTATAAATCAGTTTGCCTGCGACCAGTAGAATTTTACCTTTTTTAAGATATCATAACCTGACTGAATATTTGTCTCTGCCAAGAAATTTTACTCTCAACAGATATGTTGCTACTGAAACTTCCTCGTTGTTCTTCACGGCTAGAATTTTCATGCCACTTGAACTGAAGTTATTTTCCAACTCAACTGCCATTGAGAAAGTGAACACGGCTAAAATCTTGAAAAAATGATTTTGTTTTTCGGTAGGTGGTATTCGAAGAACTGACGATGAAATAGAAGATATGATTGAAAATGGTTTTCCAGGAACATTTAGTTTTTCTGTAAGTACTATTTTTGTTCATATTTACCTTCATTTTCACATTTGTCAACGCTGATTTAGATCATGGTGGATGTAGAAAAAGCTAGACAAGCTGTACATTTCATTGAACAACGACATCAGGATATAACAAAGTTGGAAAATTCTATTAAACAATTACATAGTATATTTGCTGATTTAGCTATGCTTGTTGCAACTCAGGTATGTCCCATTGATTGTTGCTTTGTTAATTTATTTTATCATCTCAAGGGCGAAATGATTGATAATATTGAATATAATGTGATACAAGCAACCGATTTTGTTGGCAAGGCAACCGATGACATTGTAAAAGCAGCTATCATCGCTGCCAAGGCTAAAAAAGTAAGCATCTCGATTTCGATAAATAATTAATTGATGTTTTTTTTTTATTATTTTTATAGAAAAAAACTATTGTATGTGTAATTCTAACTGTTGTTATTGTTGTTCTTATAATCATATTCGTTACTTATTTTTCAATTCAAAAGAAAATCTTCTGAAAATAACTCGTTTACATCTTGCGAACTTAAAGTAGATTATGTATGTTTTGAAAGCTTTCGCTAAAAATGTTCTTGTTGTTTTTAATGAATATTTTTGTTTCTCTGAATAAATCAGGTCTTGCTTGCTTTTTCTTCGCTAATAATTCTTACATTTCGGATGGTTGTTGAGCATAAATAAAAATCAAATTCATTAAAGCTTTTTTTTTAAATTTGCCGGAAGCGATTTTTATACATGCTAATACGATTCAGTGTATCATAATATAAACCTACAATTCAGCTATGGAGAAAAAAATTGGTTTGATTGAGAAATGTCTGTCTATTGGTTTTATATGAAAGAAGAATAATAGAAAGCTTATTTAATAACATTGATTCAATTGGTTCTAACTCGATATGACATTCATTAATTTGCTTGAGCATCTTTGCATAAAATTCAATTATAATGACAAGTATGTTGTTTAAGATCTAGATTATCTCTTGAGTGATACATCACTTACAAAATTCGTCGGTTACAAAAAAAAAGTATTTATGAATTCTCTCTCTGCTGAATTACTATGCTCATTGAAAAACGTATATTTAATTATCAACAAATCTTTTCAGTTTGAAATAGATAATTTCCGAAATCTTACTATAGAAATAATTTTAAAGAACTTCCGTCATACGCTCTTGAATAGTCTTACGACGTCAGCATAAAAGAGAAAACAAGAGCAGCAGCACATATTTCTCTTTTCTTATTTGATTTCACGTAACTTGCTCTATCCCATTGCAAACAGAACGAAACGAGTCATGTGCATGACTTTTTAGTTTTATTAGCGTCATCAAATTCTTCCACTATGCACATTATTGAAGATTAACTTGATAGAGACTACTTCACCCTGGTGGTTCTCACTTGTTTAACACGCCACTATTAGCAATATCCAATCGTATATACGTCACTTCGGTTACTATCGGCATCGAGCAAACCTCGATGAATAAATATATTCATTAATCGGTATAAGAGAGAAAAAGTCAACAATCAATATAATATGCGACTATTCTCAACCAAACGCTCATATTCCTCGAAAATCCAATTGACTTAGAGCAAAGATCAACCAATCAGCATGCTGAATAATCAACCACGCTTCGATAATCTCAACGACCTTTGTCAATATCCGTTTCTATGTTCAGAATGTATATATTTGTTGAATAAATATGGTTATTCATCAATGGAATAAGTGAGTGGTAATGCAATGACTCATCGGTCGCTTGCGATTGGCTAGAAGAATGCATATAGTGCGCAACTGATTTATAGATGTATGCATTCGTGAAGAAATAACCTTAAACCGACTCCTCCAATGGCGTCCCGTAAAACAATTATATATCTTGCTAGCATTTTTTTTTATAACGCGCATAATGATTCATCGATGTGTCTGTTTTTTATTATTTGAATTCAATAGTGTAGGTGCATTATTAAAAATAGCAGTTTGACGATTATTTTGTATAAAATTTTGTCAAGTGCCGCATTTCATTTCTAGATTTATACAAATGTATAATAGTTTGTATTATTAAAATCATTATTCAATGACGAAAGATCGATTGCCTGCATTGCGGGCTGTAAGTTTAAATAGAAAAGCGGAGCTGAGAAAAAATAATTTATTTTCATACTGAAATTTTAGGCCCAAAACACTGAAGATAGCGATCCAGATGCGGCCTATACCGCTATTAACATGGAAGACAATAGTCGATTTATGTCCGACTTTTTTGCTCATATCGATTCATTGCGTACTAATATAGATAAAATAAGTGAACTGGTAGATGAAGTTAAACGTCTTCATTCAACAATATTAGCTGCCCCACAACCCGATGATCGAACGAAAGAAGAGCTTGAAGAAAAAATGGCTGATATTAAAAAAATAGCCAACGATGTTCGAGTGAAATTGAAAAGTAAGTGAACAGAAAAAAAATATAACCTCAAAAGATACAGATTTTTCTTACAAAAAACAAAATTAAAAAAAAACAAACTATTTAGCTATGGAAAACGAATTAGAACAGGAAGGAAGTGATAATGCATTGCGTACTGCTGATATACGGATACGAAAAACTCAGGTGTCATTTTGTTTCACTACCATATTTTATTTAAATGTTGTTTAAACGTATTCACTGTTGTGTTGTGTGTAAATATATTGTATTTTCCATCCATTTTATTCCAGAAATGGAACAAGAACAAGAACTTTCTCAATCATCGTCGAACAGGACTCAAGCACAATTCCGAATTGAAAAATCTCAGGTAGTATATTTAACTAGACTCTTATAGGACACGACACAATGCACAACAACTGATCTTCACATGTTGTAAATTTTCTTGATGTTAGATGTTTATCTATTGAAAAACGAAAAAAAAGCATAAACTCTCTTTGTAAACAAAACGTTTTTTCCCCTTATTTAGCATGCAACATTATCACGTAAATTTATTGATGCAATGAATTCGTATCGAAATGCTGAAATCGAATATCGAGAGCGTTGTAAAGCTCGTATTCAACGACAACTTGAAATCAGTGAGGAATCATAATAAATATTGTGTCGTGTCGATTGTCTGTCTGTCTGTCTATCTGTGCTTTCTATATGTATAACTATTTTATTGTTGTTAGTTGCATAATCTATTGAAAAGATTTAATCAAATCATGATTAATTATCATCTAGCAAAGAGAAATTATTTAGATGAAAGTAAAAAAAAATTAAGAAAACAAATTGAAATGAGTGAGTGCTATTTTCTTGAGGTAGAAAGTTTTCGTTTACTTCTTATTATATTTTGTATGTTTGTCTATTGCTTTTTATGTTGTTTGCACTTTATTTTTCTAGCTATTTGTGTTAGCGCAAAAATTTCGTGATGTTATGAATGATTATAATCAAGTTCAGTTGGGCTACCGACAAAAGTGCAAAGAGAGAATACAGCGACAGCTCGAGATCAGTGAGCTTGTTTTGCTTTTATTATTTGTCTTTTTTTTTGGTTTTAAAGCAGAAACACTTTTATCTCGACTAAAATATTTATTTTCATCTAGCCGGACGTTCGGTGACTGAAGGAGAAGTAGAGGAAATGCTCGAATCAGGAAATCCAGCTGTATTTACACAAGGCGTAAGTCGATTTTTAGTCGGAAATTTTTCGATAGGAAATTTTTCGTATAGATCATGGTCGAAACAGCTCAAGCTAAACAGTCTCTAGCGGATATTGAAGCAAGACATGGTGATATCATGAAATTAGAGAAAAGTATCAGAGAACTACATGATATGTTTATTGATATGGCTGCACTTGTTCAAACACAAGTATAATATTTTAGCTTTGTTTTTAATAAATTCTTTCGTTTTTTTTTATTAAAGGGTGAAATGATAGATCGTATTGAATATAATGTAGTACAATCAGAAAATTTTGTCAAAGCTGCAAATACAGATACGAAAAAAGCAGTTAAATTTCAGAGTGCAGCTCGACGGGTAAGTTCAAATAACAGTAGCATGCCGATTGAATGCATGATTGTCATTTACTAATGTGCTTAGTTTTACACATATTTGCGTGTGCTTGCCGCTTGCTAACTGCTCTAATGGAAGCTTTTTCTTTCTTTCTTTTTCTTATTTGACATAACATGTGTTGATCTATTATTCATGAGAATGATAATCAGTTGGAATTAACAGTCATTTTTCATCAAAGGAATAAATAATTAATATTGTTTAGAAAAAAATTCTACTTATCCTATGCTTGGTTATAACTGTGGTTGTGATCGTACTTATATTGGTTATTTACTTTGTCGTAAAGAGTAAAACTGACTCGAGTTCACAATCTTCTACTGGATAAATAAGCAAGTGGACAATGACAGATAGATCTAATATATAAATATAAACATATATATATATCCATGCAGGCGCGCTCTATACTAACGGGCATGGCTATCCATAAATGAGCACATATAAATATTATTTTCCACTATTACACAACGCCTATTTTTTTTTTCTTTTGAAGAAATTATTCATTATTATTGGGATTATTGCTGCTGTTCTTGCTGTAGTGGCGATTATTTTAGCAATTATTTTTGGTCGTAAATAGTTCTCTTTTTCATTCATTTACTTTCATTTTTTTCTCCTGACGATTCGATTAATACATATGTCTACGTCTAAAAACCGTTGATCGGTTTTGTGATGTTTGTTTTCTTTGTTTTTTATATATTCCATAATCAAAAAAAAAAAACTAAGGTCGATTTTTCTATATGTACAGATTTGCACATTCGCTGTCTTTCCGTCATATAATTTCAATTTTGCTATATTTCGTTTTTGTTGTCTGTGCTTTGCATGTGATCAAGTACATTATTCCTTTATTTATACTTTTGTCGTTTTCCATTGCTTGTTAATTTGTTATGTTCATTGAAGCGCATGCGTATTTTTATGAATCAACAAAAACCAAATAGAAAGACGAATCATATGTCGTACTCGTCCTAACCTGCTTTGCTTTTGTTGGTTTTTTTTGTTTCGTTTTCGATAAATCAAAAAATGAACATAGAAATCAATATATTTAATTTAAATAATTTTTTTAATTTGCTCATAAGAAGAAAAAGCTAAATTTTTGATAACACAGCAATTTGTTTTTCATCATTCATATATATTTCTTCCAGTTCAATGCCGATAAGTATTGAATTATCTTCCGTTTTCTTCTCTCCTTATTTATTTTTGTATTACTATTACTGCCAATAGGCAATAATTTCTGTCGTAGAAAAAATGTTGCCTACTGACGGTGGCTGGCATCGTATCGGTAGTTTTACTTCTAATCGTGACTGGCCTTATCTTAAACGCCATTCGATAAATCAAGAGAAAACAACGTATGAAAAGAAAAGCAGCATATTTGCAATTAGTCATCGCGCTCGATTTCCTTCCTTGGTTTTTCTTTTAGCAATATCGGTTTTTGATATTCATTTATTTATTCATTATTGTCTGCATGTGTATTATTATTAGATTTTATTTTTGTTGTTTGCATTGAACGTTGAAAGAGAGCACTTAAAAAAATATAAATAATTTAATATTCACTGAATTTCTTTTTCAGAAAAAGATTATTATACTTATTTGTTTGGTTGTTATTATTTTAATTGTTGCTTCAATGGTAGCTGGATGGTTTGGCCTTAAAAAGGTACCGTACGTTGAATTAGCGATTTTCTAATGATTCTTAGAGGAAGAGAGAAAAAAAAGACTTTCAAGTATTTTGATACACATGAGAGCAAACATTGTATGTCACATAGAAATACCCTTCACAATTAATTTTTCGATGAATTGTGTGTTGACAGACGTTGAGTGCTGAAAATTTCAATAGATATGATGTGGAAAGGATGATAAAGTTTGCTTTTTCTCGACAAAACGATTCAGTATAAATAGATCTCATTCAACAATAGTTTACTTTCGCTTAGAAAAAAATCCATTAAATAAACATGAGGCAATCTAAGAATTTTGCTTTTGTTATGCTAAAAGAAAACTAACATTCGGGTCTTTTCATAGGAAATATTTTGAGAGTTCATCACGTTATTTTTTGCAACTAAGATTAAAAAAAAGAGAACGGTACTGTATGGCTCTTGTTTTTCTTTTTAGGACTAATTAATGTGATCGGTGACCGAATAATCAGTCACAGATCAATTCTTATCGGAAAACTCGTTGCAGGACAATCTTTCTCAGAACAGTTCGTTCAAGGACTATTCGTTTCGGTGAATTTGCAGATGCGCACTCACAAACCCGATACGAATAATCGTTCGATGAACTATCCTGCGAAAAAAATTGTCCTACCACCGATGTGATCATATCATAGCAATATACATGTGTCAAATAAAAATATATCATCTTTATGTTTCAGAAAAAATTATTAGCTAATTTTGAGTGTTTTATTTTTGTCTTCAATATGCAAAGAGAATAGTGTTCTTTTTCTTTTATGTTTGTATAAAAAAACAAATAACGATTGTGTATGTATTAGGATGTATTCAATGTCTATTTAAATCCTTAAGATTAACAATGAATTCCAAGACTTTTCTCATTTTTATTTTATCTGAATAAATCATTGAAACTACGCACGCACGCGCGCACATATATATATATATATATTAATGGCCGCACTTGTACGCCTTTTTATTGTGCACATACGCACTTGCTTTGTAAAATGTACGCCTTAGTTTATTTCCATATATGTCATTTTGTTCGTTTTTTTAAACACGCATGTAACATCATGAACTATTTTTTATCCATAAAAAAAGAAAGGTGAATAATAATAAAAAACAACATAGACTAATTAAATTTACCCGTTTTTATTAGTATTATTATTAAGTCAATATGTGCGACGTGTGGCTGGCATCGATTTTATTTTTCACACCTATTTATAAAATGATATTGCTATTCTTCATGTCAAAATGGTACCGAAATAAAATATTTTGAAGTTTCTAAAGGATGTCGCATAAATCCTAAATTTAACGTTTAATAGAATTGTATAGAGGGCGCTAATACCACGTGGAATAGTAACTAATGCCGGAGAAGGTCGAAAATTGATAATGCAAAGGTTACGCAAGTCTATTAGGTTACCATGAAATGGGTTGAGTCATGCGGAAGAATTTCTCGATGGAATTTGCCACCTTCGAAAAAAGCATTTCCGATCAAATTTTCTGTTTTTTTTTCTTCACCGACTTGTCGCTCATTCTAACAAAAAACGAGATAATCAAGTCTTTACTGTTCTGAACATACATCGAAAAGAAAATTATTGCCCAACGAATGCTTGCCTCACACATGTAAAAAATTTTAAAAAAAAGCAGAAAAGTAGTTCATTGTACATTTTTAATTGGATTTTAAAAATTTTTCCACCCATTTTGTATGAGCTGAAATGTTCGCATAAACACCGGGTGCCATGCCTGGCGTCGGTGCTGAACCGTATGAGGTGATGCCAATAACAATCCAGCGACCATCGGCTTGTCGAACAAGTAAAGGACCACCGGAATCACCACTCTATTCAATTTTGAAAATATATTTATTCGAGAAAATATTTTCTCCTACCATAGTATCTGTTTGTTGATGATAATCACCGGCACAAATTTCTGTACTTGGATTGAAAACATGGCCATATGAACGACTACAATGGTAACCATCGAATATGGTTACATCAGCTAAATTAGAAAAATAAAAATTGCTATTCAAATCCCCGTAGATTAACATGATAGATGTACTTTTGTTCGAAACAAAACAAATGAGACTTTTGCGACAATAATTCTATCATCTCGTGAGCATAATCTATCACACAGAAAGTATGAAAAGGTTAACTAATTGATATTCTAAGCATTACAGAGCGAGTTGTAATAGTTGGTATGTCTGATGACTCGCAAAATAAAATACAAATATATATGTATATATCATATTTTATGGCGTAAAATATTAACTAGAATTTTCTAGTTGACCTTTTCGATTCTATTGCATATGAGACAAATAGTCTATTTACCCTGTTGTAATGTAAAACTTTTGACCATGTTCGTAACAGGATTTTGTGAGCTATCACCCCATCCAATAATAACACCGGTACGATTGATAAGCGCTTTTCCATGATCGATGGCTGCATATGGTTCAAATGGTAAACAAACTGAATTTATTCTTGGCCCATAAAGTACAGATTTACTTAATTTAAGTATAGCTATATCATTTTTACAACAATGTGTATAGTTCGGATGACTGAACATAGCGCTAATTGAATAATAATTTAATGGATTTAATTTGCCAAGAACCGTATGAACACCAACAATAGCTTTTATGTCACCTAGTTTCGTGTTTGTTAAACAGTGTGCAGCTGTTAATACTGTATTTTCATTGATAAGTATACCGGCACAACTCCAACCATGACGAGGACTTGTAAATAATGATACGATCCAAGGCCTTTGAAAAACAAAAAGATTTTTATACGAAATCACAATGGTTCACAGAGTGTCATAGAACAAGTATTTCTCTTCTAATGAAATCATTGGTGACTTTCGATGCTATTCTTTGCTATCAGAATATTGTCAATATTCATTGATAATTCCTTTTCACTTCGAAAAATGATCTTATCTACTTGTATCTTACCATGTATGCCAAACAGCATCTATACCACCTTTAATTTTCGCAGTCACAGCTGGTTGTTTACTATAAATAGCTGGTTGATCATCAGCCGCATAGCCACAACCTCTTGATATCATTGAATCATGCGTTGATTGCGAATGACCCATGAAAAATGCTCGAAACCGATAGAACAGTTCGAGAAGATATTCTTTCGCTGTTGCTGCTGCTTCAGATATTTTATCACCCATTTTTGTGAGCAATTTTCCAACTCCCGACGATGGTGCTGCTTCAATTTCCACAACGCCATTGAAAATCAAAATCAATAAGACAAAAATTATACGACGACTTGTACGAGACATAATTATGAAAGATTAGAATATCTTATTCTTGCTCTTGGTTTTTTTTTCCGCATAATATTGACATCTGTCAGATTACCCTTAGATAAACAAAATATTTCTTTTTCTTCTTCTTTTTTTTTCTATAAGTCAAGATCATAGGGCGATAAACGATGAATAATATCGACGAAGAAAAGAATGTTGTATCGAACGAGAAGGTCTGTACACAACGCAAATTTATTCATCTCATGTACGAAGTACGAGATTAAACCTCATCTCTGTCTGCTTATCTTTTCACGTGCTCAATCACATGATGTATCGTCTTCTTTTTTTCTCCTGTATGAAGGTCTCATTATAAGCGTTTGAATATGCGCATCATCAAAAACGTTTATCATTGCTTTGTTAATATTAGAAAACGTTCATTTGTATTTGTTAAAGAAAAAGCTTGTGGTAGCAAATTCTTTACGGGTAACAACAGATGGGCTTAATTGTTGTTTTCAGCCTGATTATATTAATACAAAGTATGCCAAGCAAAAAAAACAAGCTTTTCCGGATTATAGTTGTTTACCAAAAATAATTGGTCAGCAGAAAATTATACCCACTTGGAATTAGATTAGTTTTTGCAATATTATTTTTTTTTTTTAATTAGCATTGCTATTCTATTCATCCTATATACAGTAGATATCACATATACCTCTGTTGTAGACTATGAAGGCAAGTATTGGTATTTATTTTCTCGTCGAAACAGTGGCAGATCTAGGATGTTTAGATACGTTGTATCTTAGTTTCAGAGCATGTGTCCCAGTTGAAACTCATGGAGGGTGATATTGGGCTCATAATATGGGGTTTCATGAAAAAAGCAATTGATAGATGCTTGCGAAAAAAAAATCATTTCTAAAACCGCCACCTACCCAACAATTTTTTGTCTTGACTCATATTACAATTTTTAAAACTTATTCGTAATCTATATTAAATTTCATCGACAGATTTCAATTTTCATTAAAAAATATGCATCCCATCGAAAGCTATGACAATTTCAATTTTGTGCCATTTTTGGGAAATGTAAAATATATTCAGAACGTTATAACTTTCGATGAGATGCATATTTTTTAATGAAAATTGAAATCTGTCGATGAAATTTAATATAGATTACGAATAAGTTTTAAAAATGATTTTTTTTTCGCAGGCATCAATCAAATTTGTTTTCATGAAACCCCATATTATGAGCCCAATATCACCCTCCATGAGTTTCAACTGGGACCCATGCTCTGAAACTAAGATACAACCTATCTAAAAATCCTAGATCCGCCACTGCGTCGAAAGTTTGAAAATAAGCTTTTCTCTGTACGAAATTTACACGTACGGTATGTTCTAGTGTTGTCGTTCAGTATTTTTTCCGTACGGTAAGAGACTGTAGAAAAAAAATCCGATATCTGTTCATCACAATGATTAAAGTCTTTAATAGGAAGTCGGAAATTTTCGATTTTAAATTTCCGAAGCAAAATTTCTCAACACCGCTAGATGATAATTAGTACGTTAGAGAACAATACAGTTCGTGTACTATTAGAATGCTGTTCTTCTATTGAAGAATCTAATGTAGGCCACAATTGAAAACTGATACATTTATTTTCAAGTAATTTCAAACGGAAGCCTAAAAGAAAAAACCTACTTCAGTCGTAGCAAATCAAAACAAACTGAATTTATTTTCAGCCGTTGATCGAATTTTTCTATAGTCTTAAGTTTGTGCATTTCAACGTGTTCTTCAGTACAATTATTTCCTTGCCTGAATAAAAAAAAATCCCTGTAAACAATCTGTTTCTGGATGATGTTAGCTCTGCAGACTCTTGAGATAGTTTTTCTTCTGTCAATAGAATTAATACCAAGAGAAATATTCTATTTGGAATAGATCGAATATTGCATCAGTCAAATATTTTTACAATAGATTTATTTGCACTCGAAGGTCTTTGCTAGTATCCCGCTTTTCATAGAAAAACATTGCATTTAGTATCAATTAAATAAGATGCTAATGTTAAATCAACAAACCTATTTCTAGTTGATTGATTCTTTAAATGCTTGAGCTAGCGGCTGCTCTTGAGAACGTAATCAATTATAAAACAAAATTTATTAATTTGGAAAAGATTTTTTTAAACTAATTTTTTATGAATAGAAGTAAAAATTGTGCCGTTTATTCTGTCATCGTAATTTAGTGATCGTTCCACGAAGAGCTGCCTTGGACTTGGTATCGAATGTCTAAAAAGCTATTCTATAAGATATTAGATGTTTATCACGCACGAAAGCCGATAAATTCTATGGAAAAAATATTCATACTTAAATGACGCGCCGACAACAGGCGATCAGAAAAAGATGGAGTCTCATATGAAAGAAGTATATTACTAGTAATAAATGCATTTTTTTATTAACATCCAAAGAAGATTTTCGATGCATATCCAGATATCGCCATAATAAGTCCTACGCCGTGCATACTATTTCTTTACGCTGTCTGGATTGCTTTCTCTATAGCGTAACCACTGAAAAACAAGTGGCGGAAATAATCTTGATTCTTGCGTTGTTTCAAACTGAAAAAGAGAGAAATGTAAATAGTAGGGAGATACATATCATTAAGTGTGAATAACAGTGATTCGACTAGAAGTATTTATGGTAGACTTCATCTGTTCATGGCAAACTACGAGGTTGTGAGTACCGATAAAATTAGCATTCACAATCATACCCCCAAACATACAAACGAATGAGTTTTAGTTCTAAATAGATGCTTCACAAGCTCTATATATTCACAAATTATACTGTTGAATTATCTTCAGTAGGCAGTGAATTGTTTGAATAAAGTTAATCAATCTGTACTAATCATTTCGGTCAAAAACAAAAAGCTTCAAATATCTGAAGAATAAATATTTGTAATGTCGTCAAAATAGTTTTATTTCCGGAAAGTCTATTGATCAGCTCCTTGTTTAATTAATACAGACAAATGTCATGGAAACCTAATAAATAGAACATGACAGAAATCTTGGCAAGAATTTATTTCCCATGTTGTTTGAATAAGTTAGAAACAAAGAAAAAAGGGAAATATGACTTTTTGTTTTACATAAATAAATATTAGTTATTTTCTAATCATACCATATGGTTTGATTGTTGTTGTTGTTATGAGAATAAAAACTAATATACTTTCTAAAAATTCGCTATAGTCAATCTTTTCTTGGTAAAATCATAAATTATCGAAAGTTTTCTCATGAATAAATTGTACAATAATTTCTACTAGATTGATTTTTTTTCTTTGCTCAAAAGTCTTTCTTTTTTATTTCATTTCATTTCTATGGCACAAAGCATTCTCATTTGACAAAAAGAAGAAGAACAAAAAACGAAGCGAAACAATGAAGAAGAAGAAGATGATGATGATGAAAACAGTAAACGACTGTAAATTACAAGTAAATAAAAAGCGAAAACAAAGATTTTCATCTTTTTAATCGTGCAAAAATCAAAATTTCGAGGCCTCTTAATTAAATAGAACATCAACAGATTTGGCTGACAGAAAAAGAAAAATCTATGTGAAATTATTGAATAGAATAGATGTTATTTCATTATTGACTAGATCAATCTCAAAACAGAAGATATGAGTTTCATTCATTATTTCTAGTCGTTTCATTCGCTAGTTTCTGTTGTTGTTGTTGTAATTGTAAATAAAATGCTTGAAATTGTTGAAACATTTCTTGTTGATTTGTTGTTGTAGGATCAAAAAATGGTGAAATAGCATAGAATGGAATAAACATAGACGATGCTGCTGCCGCTGCAGCGGCGGCGGCGGCTGTAGCCGTTGTTGAATTTGTCACTGTCGTCGTTGCCGATGATGATGATGAGCTATTATTTCGTTTCGCCGCCGATAAACTAACGGGCTGTTGTCGTTTACGTTTCGAACAGAGATTTAATGGTTGTTCAGTTTGTTGTTTGGGTGTTTGAACTACGGACGATATCGAAAGATCTAATGGTTTAATATCATCGATTATTGCTGGAGCATTTAGAGCACAATGTTTTGCAGGTGGCGGTGGTGATGCTATTGTTATTATTTGTTTAGTCTAAAAGATTTTAATTTGCAATAGAATTCTTTTTTGAAATCTACATACGACATCATCATTGGAAATACTGTTCGAGTCATGTTCATTTATTTGAATATCCCCATTATCCGATATTGTTGATTTATTCGATGGATTTTTCGCTAGACTATTTAATGATGGCGCAAATTTATATTTCTTTATACAAGCGTCACAACGACAATCACCACGATGACGAATATTAGTCGAACGAGGCGACGATGAACTAACAGACGACGGCGATGACGATGATGAAACATGATTTGTCTAAAAATATTCTTGCATCAATAACATCGTTTTGAGATTTTTCTCTTACTTCACATTTAATTAAATTTTCATTCTCATTATCGCTTCCATCGCGTGAATCGAAATCGGAATCAAGTTCTAAAACAAAACAAAAAATGGAAATTTCCTCTTCGACGTTTTTGTCGTTGAATTATTATACCTGTGATACTGCCGTCATTATTAAAAACGATCCGTCGGTTACTACGAACAATTCGATTTATTGACGATACACTTGGAAGTTTATCTGCTGGGCATATGCCTTCTTTTTGAAGACTTTCACGAATTTGCCAAGCAAATATTTGAGGATTATTTCCTTTGTATTCACGTATACGTCGGACGACATCAGGTGTTGCTACTTTCGGCTTCGAACCGCCAATTAAACCAGGATGAGTTGTACCAAATAGTCGATATCTATTAGAATAGAAATAATTTATTGTCAAAAGGTTATGTTGTTTTTTTTTAATATTGAAATATTATTCTATCTGTTAGTCACCACCATCACCATTAGCTTAGGATCTTACATGAATAACAAGAAGAAGAAATAAGCATCTAGACAACATATAAAAATTTTCCGTCATACACATCGACATAATACTCATATATATATATAGTCTTTGTATAACTTACCTTTTTAATATTTTACTAACACAACCATGTGACACTTGAAGCTATGATGAAGAAAAAAACGAAGAGCAAATAAATTTAAAAACTAAAATCAATATAGAAATAGTACTTGACGGCTTATTTCACATGGGCGTACACCATTTTCAGCTAATGCAACTATTCGTTCACGTGTATCAGTTGGTAATGGTCGACCATTAATAAATTCACCCCCGAGCTGATTCATTGATGATGAGCAAAATCGGTTTTTCTCTATAAATATTAAATTCATTGATTTGATATGAGAAAATAAATTTCTTACGTCGCTTAACACCATTAGTAACATGACTTGGCGTATCGTGCAGTTTGTCATAAGCTGAAAAAACAAAAAGAATCAATCAATTTTCAAATGATTTTTATTAATCACTATCGTTAATACATTGTTGTGTTTTATCTTCTGATCCATTTTCGGAGCCATTCATTTTTTCGTCGCTATTATCAGTTACGTTTGAATTGTCGTTAGTATCATTATTCTGATAAATCGAATGGTTATCAGTCATTGTAGTATCAGTCATTTTTTTAAAACAAAATATATATAGAGAGAGAAATGTAATAGGGAAAACGAAGAGCTAACAGCAAATGCTTGTCATGATCTGAAATTTAAAATAAAAAACTAAATTTAACACATAGTTATATTAACCGGCTTATTACACTTTTTTTTAAAATTCATTCTTATTTGATTTTATACGATAGAAAATCAATGATAATATCGTCAGGTTACTTTTTTATTTTATTTTGTGCTTACTTCGAATAAAGAATGACGCGAAACTGCTGTTTTAATGGCAACAGCCGAATAAAAAATAGAAGGACATTTTTCAAGATTATAGATGCGGCTGTCGTCGTCGCCTACACTTCTCTGCTCATTAACGATCGATTTTGTTCACGCACGACTTCTCTTCGTTGCCGTCAATGCTGCCTTTCCTATGAGTCTATGTCTCTCCTTCTGAAGCAAGCAGCCGCGTCCGTATATGAAGAACAGAAATAGTTGTAAAAAAAAATGAGGAGAAAAAAAGAAAATGCCAGACGTGCGTTCGTGCACACACTAAAATGGAAGGAGAAAGAGAGAGAGAACGAGAAACAGACACGCTTCATCTACTCGAGAAATCAGCCGCCCGGCAACACACATTGATGTTTGACTACAACGATCAGAATCAACATACTTGATGATTACCAGAACAGGAGAAGAAAAAAAATGGAAGAAAGCCGAGAATTGAAGAGAACTCGCAGGAGCGTGACTAATCGTATGTGTAACGAAGCGGATAGCATACGATGTTGTGCGCGTGTGCGTATATAATGAAAATGAGAGAGCCAGGTTATTTCCTGTTTTTGAATCAAACAAATGTTTTAGGAAAAAAAAAGAAGAAGAAGAATGGTGAGAAAGCAGCAAAAATAATATATATATATATATATATCGACAACAGTGAACTATTTATGCATGACAGACAATGATTTTTCTTCGTATATGCCTATAGCTCTTTTCTTTTTTTTTGCATTCACCTAACTTGGCACCATGTATATAAATGTGCTCGTGTGCTAGCAACGATGCGATGCAGAACGCGATCGACGAACGAGCGACATGCATGTGGTGGGTGAGAGAGAGAGAGAGAGAGAATAGCGGCGCCGTTCGTTGTTCATCATGTGGAACGAATCTCATTCCTCTCAATTTTTCTCGTTTTCTCTGCTCATTGGCAATGCTGATGCGTTTTCTCTCTCTCTCTCTCTCAGACATATCATCAAGCAGTCATACTACCCTACATTAACCTATAGAGAGAAAAGTGCTTACACACACTCACATACTCACTCAAACGTTCGGTCATGCAACGATCCACATATATATATATATATATATATGGAGAGAATGACGTAAAGCTTTGTGGCTGCCTACTAAGAGATTAGACATGTAAAACCTTGATAATACATACAGCGATGATAGACATCTCAATTAGATCAATAAATCGACATCGTCAATCGAGTGAGAAATAAAAAAAAGAAAGAGCGAAGAGAAGAAAAGAAAACATAATTAAACATCATCCATTTACATGTGATGAACGTTAGACAAAAAAAAGAGAGAGTATAATGAAGTGAAGTATAATGCATCTTATATTGCTCTTGTGTATTGGTTGCTATTTGCTATGGACCAACAATGTGCAAAAGCGAGACGACGAGAAATGGTATTGAGTGAAAAGGTGATCCGCTCTAGTCCATCATTCATCCATCTCATTCTCTTCTTTCTCTCTTTTTTCATATGTATGAATGTACGCATATTACTCATCCTATTGGCTTTAGTTCACTATTATGATGATGAAATCATGTGCTCGACGTATTATTTTGCGCTCGTACACCCTATAAACATGCATATATAGATGGATATATAGACCTACCATATTCTTTGATGAATGATGATGTGGGTGTTACCATCATAGAGTGCCATATGTAAACGGCAAAGAGTGACACGCATCACGGTTCGATTACTCGCTGTTATTTCTGCCACTGTGTGGCACCACTGCGATGAAGCGAACAAACATGCGATATATTTATATGGAAAAGAACAGGAGAATATAAGAACGGGAGATGATTATACTGTGCATATGTGGTGTGTATGTGATACGTGTAAAGGAACAATCGTTAGTGCCATTTTTTCTCATCTAACAAAACATCTAGTCGTATCTACGTAAAAGTGCGAGTATAAATGGTTGTGTGTTGATGAGGTTGAAACAAGCTTAAACGAACGAAAAAAAAGAATGAATGAATGAATGAATGAAATAGAGGATGACATTTAGACACCTGTGTTTGTTCAAGATAATAAGGCCATTGAAATGGTATTCAACGACGATGTCGCGCTAGTCGAATTTTAGTATATTTTATTCTTACTTGCGAAAGAACATGACCCGTTAAATAAATTCTCTGCTTGAATACTTTTATCACTATTTTCTTCGTTTTGACTTAAGTCATATTTATACTTACCTTCTTACCATCTTTTACTCCTATTCTTGTTTGTCGATGTCTCTCTTCTCTTTTTTCTCTCACTTTTTTGATAGATACAAAAAAGGCACGCCGTGTGCGCCAACACACTCGCGTCGCATTGTCTCGTTTCGTTTGTTCCGTTCTCGGCGCGGTTCGGTTTCGCTTTGCGCGCTTTTAATCTTTTTGCCCCTTCACCGTGTACGTCTATGTGTATATGAATATATATATATATGTGTGTGTGTGTGTGTGTGTGTTCGCTTTGTGTATGTCAGCTATTGATTCTCTACAAACACACACACGCATGCGCGCTTGCACACACACACTCACACATATAGGCGGTGATGGGAAGAGGGGCATACTAAGGAGGTGGGTGGAAGAACGACAGCACAAAAGAGAGAGAGAGAGAGACAGAGACAGAGAAAGAAGATCACCTTATATATTGGCGCACAAAATGACTGTTATGCTGTTTTCTTGATGTATGACTGTTGGGGGTAAATGCATTCTCGCATTTCGTTCCATTCCGTTGATGACAATGATGACGTCCCACCGAGTGGCACTTCTACGTAGTTACGCCGACATGATTTTTTTTCTTTCATATCTATCGTTTACTAGCCGTGTTGCTCTCTTTTTTTCTTCTTATCTATACAAGAACTACTATAGCTCTTATAGGTTTCTTTGCTATAATATGAATGTGCGCGTGCGTGTGTGTATGTGCATCTCCAGAGACCGTGAAAATGTGCCATGCTCCAGTGCAATAGATGGTCGATCGAATGCGTGTGTTTATATGTGCGTGCGCACAAGTTCACCATAGGCACCAAACAAGAAGAGAACGATGAGAGTAACAAAAAAAAGAAATATAGAGAGACTCACGCATGCATGAAAGCACGTCGTCGTCTTACCATCAATTCATCAATGACACTAGTGGAACTCGTTTGTGGGTGAGAAGAGTAGAGTAGCGACCGATCTAATGAGAAGTGTTTGTATTTTACGCTCGAAAGACATAGATTCGAAATTTTATACCCGCAAGAAATTCCATCTAGACATCTTGGATAGTCATATATCTATATATGTTTGTCTGTGTGGCACGATATAAGACTAACCTAAGGTAAATTAACGATAGGCGAGAGACTAATCACTTCCACTGTTCGAATGGATTACATGCATTTGATGAACGTCAGTCATGTGTATGCGTGTTCCATCCGCACTCATTTCGATTAAAAAAAGATATAAGTGTATGCGATGATGATGATGACAGCTAAATCATGATCAATATAACTCCGAATGGCTTAATGAATGAATACATTGTAACACATGTATTTCAATAAGAATTTGACATACACACGTGAGGTATTCATCGTCATGCATATGTCGTCCTTATTCTCTCTTATGCATCTTTGTTATATTCGATTTCTATAGAAAAACAAAACAGACAATTTAAATTCAAAACGATGTTTCTTGGGAATAATTCAATGTTAATGATATAATATTCTTATTAACACTGTGCTTATAATTGAGAGAGATAGTAGAAAATTTCTTTTTCTGATCAATATAAATGTAATAGATGTCGTACGGAATGGAACAAAAATCTATCGAATGGACATATCACATTGCCAATCATGATGCATATAAAAGAAGAAGAAGAAGAAAGCTAACTAACTACAGCAAAAATCGTAGTTTGCATTTTGAAAATGTTGAAAAGATTAAATCAATATAAATCTATAATTCGTTTTCATCATTGTACAGCCATCCCACTCGATAATCGTTCTTTAATAAAAGTTCACGGTGATGACACATCGAAATTTCTACAAGGTCTGATTACGAATGATATAGAAAATTTTAAAAATACAAATGCTATCTATAGTATGTTACTCAATGCACGTGGAAGAATTCTGTATGATATGATTATTTATAATAATCATCAATTAAATAAATCATCTTATTTAATCGAAATATCTCAAAATGCAGCCGCTGATTTTATGCGTATTTTACGTACATATAAGCTTCGTAAACAAGTTAATATTGAAGATGTTACAGAAGTCTACCGTATTTGGTCAATACTTGCGTGTCAAAAAGAAGTTCACTCGAATAGAAATGATCTTCGTGATAGTTTAAATT